GGATTCACACAATACCCTGGTTAGCCATATACCGTTGGCTTTCAGACCCAGGATTGCTGCCATCTAATGTGTAGTAAAGCTATTCAATTCCCTGAACAGCGTCTGCATGCATGCATCATGGAGCTATTTTGAAAACAACCCTCTAGTCTGAGTCTGAGAAGAACAAGCCAAAACTGTCAGCTAAAGACGGCTCCTTTGGGAGAAGGGGTCGACGCTCCAGGAAGGACCTCGGCTGAATGCAGCACTAAAGAGTCGGTCTTCTGCAGTGGTGGAAGATGGGGCGGCCGCAGTGAAGAGCTGCAACCTTGTGGTCGTAGGGAAGAGCCGTTTTGGCGAGAGCCACACCGGGAAGGCAGAGGAGCTGGGGGAAATGCCTTTTTTATACGTATATCCTGGCTGCATGTATTGTTTATTATATTGGATTTTCCTTTGTTGCTGTGTTATAACAGTCTTATGTTTTGATGGTATTTTATTACACTTTTAATATATTTTAACTGGTGTATAAGTCTGAAAACTGCCCTGAGCTTTCTGCGAAGGAAGGATAAAATGTTTTAAAAGATTCCCCCCCCCCCGCCCCCGGCTATCTCATATGTTTATAAATCCCTTCATTTTAATTCTTTTGTTATGGTGCCATTTTAATAAAACATTGTTTTTAATAAAATAACCAGAACTATGTATACTTGGAAAAAAATCAAACTGTTTGTAAAAATTACATGGGTGTTCTTGCATTGCCCATTTGACTCCCAATTATTTGTATGGCGACTAGGGACAGACTGGCCAGTGCAGTACTGTTGGCTGAGTTCTGAACTAGGATCCAGTCAGAATCCCCCCACCCACCCTCTGCCACACAAGTTTGCTGGGTGACTCTAGGGCTAGTCACATGCCCCCAGCCCATCCTACCTCATGGGGCTGTTGTGAGGATACAGTGGAGGGCAGAAGAACTTTGTAACCTGCTTTGGGTCTGCATTGGGGGGAAAGGTGAGGGGTAGGTACTGTTGAACAGAAGCAACTAGCCAGTCCCAGGTGAGTCACACCAGAAGAAGAAGAAGAAGAAGAGAAGGAGGAGGAGGAGATGATTGGATTTATACACCCTGTCCTTCACTCCGAGCGGCTTACAAACTCCTTTCCCTTCCCCTCCCCACAACAGACACCCTGTGAGGTAGGTGGGGCTGAGAGGGCTCTTTCAAGAACAGTTCTTTCAAGGACAGCTCTGACAGAATTTATGACTGACCCAAGGTCACACCAGCAGCTGCATGTGGAGGAGTGGGGAATCAGACCCGGTTCTCCCAGATTACAGTCCCTGCACTTAACCACGACACCAAACAAGTCATGTGGTATCTAGTTGCTTGGTGGCTGCTGCCAGGCCCGGCCCCAAGGAGTCCTCCCGTAAAGGTCAAAACATCCCTGGAAAAGGTCCTGCCCTCCCCATCCCTTCTATTTACAGAAACCAAGGTTTTAAGGCTGGCAATACTGTTGCAGTTACTCATCAACGGCCACAGAGAGCATTCATTTCTTAAAGCTAGAGGCTCTGCTTCTATTATTTTGGGGGGTGTTTAACCCCTACTGTTTTTCTTTGATTTTCAGATTTTTCTGCAAACCTGAGGCTTTTCTCGGGTTGGTAGAAAGATCTGTCTGGTTTGTCCATGGACTGTCTCCAGATTTAAGTATCCACAGACGGGGCCACATTGAGAATTGGATCTACTGATATAGGGCAGGGGTCCTCAACCTTTTTGAGCCTGTGGATACCTTTGGAATTCTGACACGGGGTGGTGGGCACAACTACACAATGGCCTGCACAAGAAGGGGGCGACAGCCACAACATGTCAAGGAGCGAGGTCATGTATAATTCTAACAACAACTCTTCAACATTTCAGGCAGAATCATTGTTTTAACTGGAAGCCTTTTTAAATGGACATGTTTAAAAATATTTCTTGCATACACCTTCAGTCACACAGTGATGTGGTGGCAGCTGCTGCCAAAAGATGTGGGATTTTTTAAAAAAAAAATCTGCACAGCCAATGGCCAATCAGAAGCTTGCTGGGCCAAAGCTCCATCTGGCCCTGCCCGCTTCTTGAAAACACCTGATGGGTGTCAGGAAATAATCCTCCTTAAATTAAAAAAAAAAATGGCATGTCCTTACCTTGGCATAAAGTGCCAGAAGGGTATCCATTTCTATGTTCTCCAGAAAATTTTCAAGAACCACTAGATTATGCTGAGCTTCTCTTGATCTAAAATTTAAAAAAGGCAACAATATTATTTTGAGAATCAAAATATATCCTTCAGCACTCATGGGAGGCCCACAAGATTTGCCCCTGTGATTTCTAGAGCCCAAACTGCAACCCTGGAGGCTTTCAACAAACGCTGCCCACGGAATTAATGCTTTTCCACTTCCAACTTTACAGCTGCAGTGATGGTGTGAGAAGATCTCCCATTACGTTCCTTTGCTCGGTTTCTGAAGGTGTGGCGCATAAGTTTCTCCTCCCCTTACTCAAGGGGTGGGATCACTGGCCACAGTAGCTCGGGTAGCAGTGGAAGGATACTGACATTATTCTGAGGCCCAGTAGGCAATAGATAGTTCATTGCTGATGTTTCGATACTTCCTCTGGCCAGCTACTCAGTTCACTGACTAATCCAAGTAACCCAGCTAATCAGCTTCCTGGTCTTGGGGTCCTTCTTTACACTCACTTTACATTTCAACTCCCCTTTGCCTTATTTAAGTAGTGTAATTTCTAAGTCTTCTGTCCAACTCCTTCCCAGCCTTGGATTATCTACTGATGTGGTCACCTACTTAGCCAAAAGTTGTGGATATGCTACCAAGTCCAATTCCGCTGTTGATGGCAAATAATAAACAAACCATCCCCATGCCTGAAGAGTGGCCATAAAGGCTGTACCAATGAAACCGGCAGTGAGAGAGAAAGCCAGGGGGGGCCTTGCCTTTGTCTGTGCAGGCACACTAGTTGCTTCCGCTTCATCAGTGCTTGCTGCAGGAGTGCAGATGCTGGGCCGCCGGAATGCAATTCCTCAGGGCTGCTTGCCGCAGCCGCTTGCTCTGGACTCTGCCTCCTCCTGTTCATCAGGAGAGAAAGCTGTCGCTGAGCCAACTCTTGATGCAACAGCTCATCCTCCATCTTTTTTTCCACCTCTTCGATTTCCTTTATTTTCAAAGCAAACAACATCATGAGCACTACCTCAGCGACACAAACTAAGAGAAAATTGTGAAACAAACTAAGGGACAATTGTGAATGGTGTGTGAGTGTATATGAATATTGCTGTAGATCACTGAAATGATTGCATCTTTAATTTTGTTGTACTATGTACAATGACAATAAAATATAATATAATATAATATTTTGGGGGGGTGGTAGAATGAATCACCCTCCACAATGACAAATCTAACTGACTGCAAGACAATATTAGTGATATTAAATAGGGAAACAGTTATTTTTCAAAGGAAAATGGTGCAAAGCTGCAGCTGATTGATGCTGCAACCAACAACAAACCTACACAGAAAATGTAAGAGGAGTCTTTCAGGAAAGTTTTTTTTGCTACCCTCTCTCCAAACCTCCTTTCTGTGTTGAAAACGTTTGCTAGAAAATTACTCTGCTCAGCCTACATTCCCTAATCCCATGCTCCTGGCATGCTGTTTGTGCATTAATTGCAATTGTTTCATAGCAACAGCAGAAGGGAAAAAACAGTGACATCACTGATGTTGCTATGTAACTTCTGGGTACAACCCAGAAGTAACTCAGGGAAGCTCTAGGAATTGCTCAAAACTGCATGGTAAAACCACAGTTTCCAGTGATCCCTAGAGCTACCCTTCGTTACTTCTGAGTTGTACCTAGAAGTGGTGTAGGGACATCAGTAATGTCACCCCCTCCCCCATGTCCTGCTGGTTGCCAGGCACCTTTTTGGCTTGTTGCCCATGCAGGCAAGAAAAGGGAAAGGACTATTGAGCCCCCTGGGAAGCTGCCCTACATGGCCCCTCGGCTGCGTCCTGTCGGTGGGCACGTCCTGTGGTCCACACCTGTGGCGGGACTATCACAAAGAAAGGTTCTGCTTTACAGGGATTTGCACACCTTGTTGCCAAAATCTTACCGTTTAAATATAGTGGGGGAAAATTGACCAGCTGAAACCACATCACTGTTTTGCAAATTGCATTTTAACAGAGATTTTTAAAGCTTTTGAAGTTGTCTCCATTTTGCAGAGTGGCACTTGGGGGCCTGCCAGAAGCAAAACGGAAGCATTCCGTGTTCTTGCAAAAGGCTGCCTGAAATACGCTCCAGTGGTGCAAAGCTTTTACTTTTGAGTCCTCGTTCCTAAGAAGTGCACCCTCCAGTCCACACCAGGACTTGTAGAGCTGTGTGAAGCAGAAAGGGGTGCGCGTGCCGTGTGGGAACAATGGCTACTTGAGAGAAATGCATCAAAGCTGCCCTTTCTACATATTGTTGGAATATACCAATACACTCAGAGGTCCTAGAAGAGATGCATTCATGAAGAACTCTCTGCAAAAATGTGTGTGAAATAAATTCACAAGCAGCCATATAACCTCTTACATAAAACTAACCCTTTGGGGGAGAGGAATGTACTCTACACAGCTCTGCTTTTTGACAGATCAATTTTTACTGAACCCTGACCTCACTGGTTGTTTGGAGTGCTGTGTTCAGTTTTGGACCCCACAATTTAAGAAGGATATAGACAAGCTGGAATGCGTCCAGAGGAGGGCAACGAAGAGGGTGAGGGGTCTGGAGACCAAGTCCTATGAGGAAAGGCTGAAGGAGCTGGGTCTGTTTAGCCTGGAGAGGAGACGACTGAGAAGTGATATGATAACCATCTTCAAGTACTTGAAGGACTGTCATATAGAGAGGATGATGCAGAGTTGTTTTCTGTTGCCCCAGAAGGTCGGACCAGAACCAACGGGTTGAGATTAAATCAAAAGATTGTTCGGCTAAACATTAGGAAGAACTTTCTGACAGTGTAGTTCCTCAGTGGAACAGGCTTCCTCGGGGGCAGTGTTCCCTCTAAGCTGAGTTAGTGTGAGTTGGCTCACAGTTTTTTAGCCTCCAGTTCACACATTTTTGTCTTCGCTCAGGAAGGACGGCTCCAGAGACAACTAATTTATGCAGTAGTCAAATTGCTCACTTCAATGCCAGTAGCTCACAAAGTAGAATTTTTGCTCACAAGACTCCACAGCTTAGAGGGAGCATTGCTCGGGAGGGGGTGGGCTCTCCTTTTTCGGAGCATTCCACTAACTGTGGTTAATTGTGGTACATCTAAACAGGATCTGACTCAAAGATCTGAAGTTCGTTTATCGACCAGTTAATCTTAATTACACCTTCATGTGACAAACGAACACAGACATTCCAGCCTCATCCTGGCTTTCTCCCCAGCACTGCCATCACAAACTCCCCCCAGACTACAGAGACGCCTCACTAGAGAGGCTCATAATCAAAGCCACTCTTGCCTTTCAGTGTCTCTCATTAGCAGCCTCTCCAGCTTATGAAGCCAGCATTCACTGAGGCAAGGCAAAATCGGAGTGATCGTCTGCTACCTAATCCCGGTTTCACAAACCAACCATAGTTAAAAATAAACCATGGTTTCATGTTATGTCTGAACCAAGTCAATGTCAATACAGTTACTTCAGTTTGCCCTCAGTGAAAGCTTCACTCAAGTTACTATTTTTGTTACTTACACGGTTGCTCTGTTCTACGATCTCAGCCCAATCGGAGTTGGTCATGGTCTTCGATGTGCTCATCTCTTCCAGAAGCAAAGAGCATAATTGTACGACAGCTGTGTAAAACTCCAACATATCTGGTATTTTTGCAGTCTTCTGGAACTGCAGAGAAGTAATGCGCTCCCCAATTTTATTCTCCAGAGCCTGCAGCTGACGTGATCTTTCCAGCTGTAGTTCCCTGACAATCTGGAAGAAAACACCCAGATCTCTGGTTATAGCAAGGCTGACAAAATCCTGTCAGATTCAGGTGGGTAGATGGTTTGAAGCAACAGAACAAAGTCTGAGTCCAGTGGCACCTTGAAGACCAGCAAAGTTTAATTCTGGCGTACACATGAAAGCTTATACTCAGACTTCAACTTTGTTGACCTGAAAGGTCAAAAACCCCTGTCAAGTATGTCTAGAAACTGAAAATACTCGTGTATCTGCTACAGAACTTCAGGCCTTGGCCCAGGTAACCCAAATGTTTATACATGTTCCTAGGTTTCCCCCCTACATAGTCTGGCTGGGAGACAGAAGGGGCCTGCAGAGGCTGCCCCTTCCTCCAATGAAGGGAGAAAACTGTACTTAATTCTGATAGTATAAACATAACTTCCGTTATGCTCTTCCTGACTCTCTCCCATGATAAGACTTTTGCTGTCAAGAGGCATTTCATCACTCGCATTTGATTATCTAGGGCCCCGGTCACACGGGAGGACTTGCCCCACAAGAGGGACGAATCAGGGGCGCATCAAGTGGGCGCAATCATACTGCCACATCTGGGAAGCGTCACGCACCCGTCCCCAATCCGGCCCTTTGGCCCGAAAACGCGCATTCAAAAGGTACTAGCAACAGAGCACTACCTTCCGGATGATGCGCAGCAACTCCAGGCGTCTGGGTGGGGAAGCGCTGGTAGCCCGTCGCAGCCAGCGCCGTTCCCCATCCCACGCATGCGCACAACCGCGCTACTGCCGGTTTGCTGCACAACGTGTGATCGGCTGCCGGAGCACGGAGCCGCGGGGGCACGTCAGATCGCGCTCCCGCAGTTCTTTTTGCTCCGACTCTAATTTGCCTCCCTTCAGCAGTGGATCATCCCACTCGTGTGACCGGGACCTAGGAGACAGGACTGCATTTGGACTGTGATGCTGTGACAAAACAGCTTATTCGAGATGATACATGAGCGTTTCTCAAATATCAGGCGATACAAGAAGCCCTTGAAGAAAGAGAAAGAAAACTCATTAGAAGAGTCAACAGATGCCTAGAATTTCAAAAGACACCCATTCACACAACCTCTGTTATGCAGTAGGCGAGACGAGAGGAGTTTACTCATCTTTTCAAGCTGAAATATGAAAGGGCTTGACAATTAGAAGGAAAGGTCCTCACTGCCATTAGCACTATTACAACGAATGGCTTATGAACAATGAAGTTGCAGGTCCTCCTGGATGGTCAAGAGAGGTGGGGGGGGGTTTCCACGGGTCAAATGGTGCCCCCCCCTTGAGTGACAAAGAAAGATTCCCTTTTCAGTGTTGCACAGGAGGTGGGGGACTGGACCTGGGGGACATTTGACTACCTTCCGCCTGTTAACCCCCACCCCCGCAGCTGGCGGAAGGGTTGTGCTGGCATGCCACCCTCTTTGTGTGGCATTGTGCCCACACAGCCCTCCGGCCTCACCAGTTTAGGAACTGATGCCAGTCCCCACTTTTTCCCCATAGAGGTCAGCCCTTTCCATCTCCTGAGGGACCTGGGGCTTCTGGGGTGTTCGCAAAGAGAAAACAACCCAAAACATTGTGCTCAGCTGGGGCAGTACAATCATCACTATGCTACAGAAATGTCAAGTCAAAGGCTGTATCTGTTTTATAGCGCAAGGGGCTCCGAGATTTTAATTCCTTCTTACTTTGCCATTTCCAAACACACCCTCCCTTCAGTGCATCTGCCGCTCAGTATCATGACACCCAAATCTTTCCAAACATCTTTCCCTCTGAACTGGTGCAGTAGTTGCCACATCTGGCTGCCCATCTGAAAAGGTGCGTGATATTCTGGGTTCTGATTTACGAAGCTGGTATCCCCTGATAAGCTCCCCCGTTTCCACTGGCCTCACTCACAGGAGGACAGCCTTCCTGCAAACCCAATGGGAGCCCTGCCCTTGTGCTCTCCTTAATGCCTGCCTGGCATCCCCCTCTCCTTGGGGATAATGGGGGGGGGGGTTGGGTCTGCAGCTCTCCATGTTGCTCAGTTGGAAGCAGGGGCATTAATGATGGAAGGAGAGCCATTTGCAGCACACCTCTGGTTTTACTTTTAGGGGGAGGATAAAAACACAAAGCCTTGGGACAGTGATGGCAAAAGGAAAGTAATTTGAAAGGGAAAAGACAAGTGAGAACCCATTTGTTTCTAAACCATAAATGTCTGCATGCAAACTGGCAACAAGCAGGGTGGTACTTTTCAGCATTAACCATGTTCTTCTCTTACTATTCAACAGCTAAACTCCTTTTTGATACGATTAGTCCGGTTACCAAAAGCTAAAACAGTAAAAAAAAGACAATACGCCAGTAGTTTCAATACTGTTGAAAGAAAGAAAGAAAGACTGAGCATGTGCTGATCCCATTGTCTGTTCCGAAGTGTGCTTCTTCTGTGTTAACATCCAGGACACACAAAACCCCACACAAGCACGGGGAGAACAACAGGAGCGGAGAGATTGCTGCAGATCCTCGGGCTACTCCTGTAGAAGCAAGCTCCACTGTGGCTGGCTGCAAGACCCATGCCCACGGCCAGCCTGATCTCCTCAGGTCCCAGAAGCTAAGCGGGGCCAGCCCTGGTTGGTACTTGGACCACCAAGGAAGTCAACGGTTGCTACTGCAGAGGTGGGCCATGGACAACCACATCTGCTCCTCTCTCACCTTGAAAACCTGACAAGGCCGCCATAAGTCGGCTGCAACTTGAGAGCCCTTTCCACACCCACACCCCTCTCTGCTCTGCAGACAGACCTCTGCTGGTTCACAGCCAGACATCCTCCGCACCACGCAGACTTTTATGGATGAATCTTCTGTTCGATCGGACTCTCCTCAGGACATCCACTGTTTCAGGTGTGCATCCTTCGCCCTGCCCGTGCCTACATACTTCTCGGATCCAAAGTCCCTGCACAGCCCCTGCTCCCAGGGTGGCTGTCTTGACGAAGTATCCCACTGCGGGGAGGAACACGGAGGACTGGGTGCCCCGCCTTCTGCTCAGGTCTACCTCCCTTTGCTTTGCCCGCAACTTACTGTAAAAATGATGCTCTCTTGTCCCAGTGAGCACAGCCCTCGATTGCCATTACCTTGTTCTCATATTGCTCCGTAACAGATTCTTCATAGATGTGAATCTTTTTCTCTAAAGATTTCTTTAGAACATCTATCTTATTTTTGTTCCTTGTTTTTCTTCTGACTTCAGGCTCTTGCTGAAAGAAAAGGGGGGGGGGGGAGGATACATACACTGACGTACATTCTCAACAGCCAAAGCAGATTTACAGCTATTATTACTTTAACACACATTGCCTCCATATCAAATAGAAATATATTCAGAGACAAATACCTCACCTGCGCTCAAAATGGAATGTCCTTGAAGGACAGGTAATTTTAAAAATCCTTTTCACTAGATACAACTACAAAATTATGCTGGGATAGTTCCATCCAGATGGCATAAAAGAAAGAGGGTTTTTTTCCCCAAACCCAAAGTTTGGACACGGAATTTAGATATTTAGTTATGTATGAGAAATTTGAATAGAAGGTATCAATATAATACTCTCTCCTTTCTTTCTTTTCTTTTTGAAAACCACTAAAACATTAAAGGGGGAAAAATAAAAAGAGGACTCCGACCAGTAAGGCAGAAAGGTGAGATCAGGTGCAGAGCAGTGACTACATCCTGAATGCTTCAGTTCCGGTACTGGAGATATTCAGGCCATCCTGGCTTCTGAAGGATAGGAAAAGGGTAAAAAGACGGAAGAGGCCTGGAGCCCACGGCTGGCCGCCAAAGGGGCGCTCCGAGTCTGTGATGAGGCTTACCTGCTCGCTCAGCGCTTGCATCTTCTGAGCCACCTTCTGCAGGGCCACTTCTCTCCCCTCGGACTGGTAAATCTGAAGCAACACCCTGGCCCGGATCTTTGGTAAAGCCAGACTGCGATCCATCTGGGAAAAGCAGCCATGGAACTCTTGCTTTATTTTCAGTAATTCTTCTTCAGAGAGAGAGAGAGAGGAACCTAGCAGTTTCCTGTCAAGAGAACATCACACAAACAAACGCATTCCTCAAAGTGCCCTTAAATGTCCTGAACTTCCATCCTTACAAAGAACTGGAGAGGACCTGAACGTTTGGAAAATGTTTTGTGACAATCTGATCAGTTTTAATGAGAAGGTAACACACTGCTGTTTGGGGAGGATTATTCTAACAGACCCACAAGGTTCCTGAAACTCTTGATTTCACAATGAATGTAATTCTTCCACCAGAAAAATCTGCAGAAATGTGCCTTTTCATTACGAATCTCTGTGGCCACTCGCCAAGCCCAAATGGTTCACGCTGGACTCAACAGGACATCACTGAGAAGCGCGCTTCAGATTTTTTAAACATTTCTCTTTGTTAGATAGATTCCAATCACTTCTCCCACTCAAACAACACGAGGCTCATTCAATCAAGACATGGCTACATTTCCCAGCTTGCAGTTAGGAGATTCAAACATGCCACCAGTAAAGGTGGCAGACGATGAGGCCCGTGTCCCTCAGCGGCTCTTTCCTCTGCAAGGCCAACGGTTTCTGCTTACTGCTGTGCCCAAAGGATGGGGCTCTGAGGGTACAAAGGGTCATGGGGTGGGTCCTGCCCCATCCAACCACTCCCTAAACAAAGCTGATTTATTACATTCTTTATTCTCCATCTTCCCTTTTGCCTCAAACGTGAAGCCTTCCTCCAGTCTAAGCAGCCTGCCTCCAACTTAAGTGGAAGAGCAACTTAAGTTGGAGGAAGACTCCTTAGAGGATGGCCGGATCCACCCCCCCACCCCCCCAGGTATTGCCTTCACATTCCTTCCTTCCCCTCCTTCTCAGCTCTTGACAGTGAAGGGGACAGAGTGGGACAGACTGGGCCGAGCCTAGTCCTAGCTCACAGTTGTGTGGAATATGATTGTGCAAGATAGCCAGGCGTGGGTGATCAACACAATCTTCTGCAGTCGGGTAAGAATCCGCACTTCCCATGCAAGTGCCTTTTTAAAAAATACGCGTATAAAGGACTGGATAAGACCCATACGTGTAGACAGTACCCATTTTTAGCTATTTTAATTTTGGGATTTTGAATTGTACAGTTTTCTGTTGTTAACCACCCTGAGCTCTGTGAATCCAAAGAAGGGCGGTATATCAATTTGAATGATAAATAAATAAATAAAATCCCATTGACTCAAAATCTGGAGGCCCTTCTTTGGAACAGGACCAATGGAAACTACGGGCTACTTCACACATTACATAGTCCACCAGATCAACATGTGGCCATTCAAGTATTCGACCCGTCCCCCAAAATCTCCAGGTAGTTCCCAACCCGGAGCTGGCGCCCCTCGGCTGTTTGGGTCCCCACCTCAGTTGATAGAAAAGGCCAGTCACAATGGGAAAAAATTGGTTTTCTAACAAAAAGCAACAGAGCAACACACTACATACAGATTTCAAGCATGCAAAACAATCCATAATCAGTAGCCTGTGGCTCTTTAGATTATTTAGACAAGTTATTATTCTGGGATAAAATCCCCCGCCCCAGCTCCTGGACTATCATAAGAACATAAGAGACGCCAATGTTGGATCAGGCCAAAGGCCCATCCCGTCCAACACTCTGTGTCACACAGTGGCCAGAAATACCCGGTGCCATCAGGAGGTCCACCAGTGGGGCCAGGACACTAGGAGCCCTCCCACAGTTGACCTCCCCCATGTTTTTGCATTCTCTCTCTCCTCTTCACCTCCTCCCACTATGAAAAATTTAAAAAGAATCGCCTCCCTTGGCGACAGTATTATGCCATGCATGTGGGTGATTGCATCATCCCAGGGTCCTCCTATATATTGATGTAATGTTAGCAGTATACAACTTATTACTACCTTTGATGGAAGAGACACACATCCAGGCACATTGGATATTTGTTACCAGTTCGGCAGGCTAATTTAAATAATCTATGGCTAAAAATTATTTGTGTAATAACACTATTTATAAATTCTAACAATTATGTAATTTCCATTTATTCATCATTTTGGCGTAGAAGAATTTGGAGAGTGTGTGCAGTTACCATGAGAGATTATCCATGGCCTACTGTGTAAAATTTTAGCAACTGCACATCACATGAGGTAATAACAGCAAAAGTTTTCTGGTATTTTAAAATTTATTATGGAATTATTATGTGTACTTGATGTGTAATAATTCGGCTTTTTTCTCTCCCTTTTGACAACTCCAGAAAGCAACATCTGGTTCTAAAGAAAATCTTTTTTCATATATTTATTTCTGGATGTGTGTTTTTTTACAATAGTGATATTGACCACTGAGGGGCCGAAACACATATGGTCTACTGGTTATAAGATATACCCATCAATTGTATATGTGAAACTAACAGTTCTGTATGTAAAAAGTTTTAAGCGTCTGATATTTGGACCATTTCTTTTAACCTAGTTTACCTTTTACTAATGTGTAAAGGTAAAGGGAACGGTTTCCCTTGCTTCAAAGCTAGCCGTACCTGACTGTATTTGTATTTTTATAATAACTTACTTTGATAGCTTGACCCTCGTATATCATAACACAGGGGCCCACCTGATTCTAAACCAGAAAAGGCTTTTCAAAAAATGAAAACAGTTACTGTAAAGTTTGCAAGCCCAGGAGAAACACAGTGGAAGAATAAAACCAAAATTAAGACCATACATCTGTCAAATATGTTTAAGATTTCTCCTTCTAGGTGAGAAAACCAATATCAGAGACAGGCCAGATACTCACAAGAATACTAACTGTTCCCAGTCCCTTAATTTCTTCTGTTCTCTAATTCTGTTCAGAAGTTCTTTGCTCAACTTTTCTCTCTTACTCTGAAGCAATCTTTCAGCAGCCATTATTTTGCCCTCATCTTCTTTCTCAAGCCGTCGCGTGGCCTCGGCCATCTCCCTTTGATGCTCTTCCATTGCTTGGTGCAAATACAGTTTTGGCACGCTGAGTGTTAGCAGTTCTTGAACAACAGATCCACAGTGAATACGTCTGATTTCCTCACGAGCTCTCTCAGCCAGATGCTGTCTGAGCACGACGACTTCTTCCTTGGCCTCACTGTCAAGCTTCCCAGTGAGTTCCTCCAGTCCAACGAAGCGATCCACCAGCATCCTTTGCCACTCAGCCAGGAAACGGCAGATGTCTTCAGGGCTCCTGAAAGCTTCCTCAGGACACGCCTGTGCCAGCGGTTCTTCTTTCTGTGACTAATGCAACAACACTATTTATTTCTTTATGGCATTCACAGTCCACTTTTTCTCCCTTGGACTCACGGCAAATTACACGGAGTGAGTCAACAGAATTGACGGGATGGGGGTATTCAGTAAACAATAAAATAGGATTAGGGTTGCAGAAGCAACCAGAGTTCTAAAAACAGAGCTGAAGCAAAGCATAAGTCTTAACATGACACATTAAAGGATACACAAACGGCATAGCAGGATCCTTCTTTCAGTAAGCCAAGTACAGTAGCATAGACCACAGTCCCGAATAACTTTATCTGGGTATCTTTGTGAATCATTTAGTATGGCCCTACCCTATTGCCTGCACAGAAAAGCCCTCCTGAGTAATTGTTTTGCCTAGTCTGCAGAAAGCCAGGACCAGGGGAGCCTTCCAGACCTCCTCGGGCCGACCGTTCGACAAGGCGGGGGCCACATGGGAGAAGGCCACGTGCAGGGGCAGTGGTTGATTTAATGAGAAAGATCTTCCATTATAACATATAAATATAATTTGTACAAGTTCGTTCATTCATTCCATTTCCCCTCAGCAGCTAAGAACAGCTTGCGTCTCATTAACAGGGAGGGGCTGTGTCCCTATTAAGGAGATGCGAGCGAGAAGCCCAAGAGATCTGCATGCAGCATCGCCTTCAAAGATGATGAGCCAGCTTCTTCCGTTCATCAAGAGGTGTTTTCCCAATAACTGTTTTGTGATGAGGCTCCAACAACCGTGAACATGGAGGACATCTGCCCAAATGTCCCTGGTAAGTCGTGTATGCATTTTTCAACTGTGGTAGCATTCTGAAGGGTTTGCAAAGGAGCCACGGAGGCACTTTTGGGAACGGGGCACACTCTAAGGGAGGGGAAGACAGCCAATAGCCTTGCCCAAGCCAGCAAGAAGCTGGAAAGTTCCCAAGAAAGAAGCAAACCCCCCCCCCAAAGGCGAGTTTCTGAGATTGCTCACTAGGTTTGACTCTAGCATAGCTTTCCTTATGGCTGACGGAACTTAACATCATTAAGCAAAGAGTATCCAAAAGGTTGTGCTGACTGCCATTCTCACCCCACACCATTGCATAATGCTCCCACGCACCCCTCGTTTCCAGGACACGATAAAGGGAAGTCCAGCACAAAATTCAGCACAAGCACTTCTGCGGTTGACCAAGGAAAAGGTTTCCCGATCGGAGCGCAGGCAGGTCCTTCTCACTGGAGAAAGTAAGCTCTGCACTGAGACCCCTGACAGCCTTCAGATCAACGGGAAGGCCAGGGAGCAGCGAGCTCCTGGTTTTAATGCCTGGGACCGCGGGTCTCCTTGGTATCTTTGCCAGGCTCCTCACAGAAATACCCGGATCCAAGCAGCACCCATATTTCTGGGTGTTCTCCACAATCCATGGCAATTGGGGAACTAAGGAAAGACAGCAAAATACTTGTTCGCTAGAAGAAATGCTCAGATACTGAAGATAGATAGATAGATAGATGATAGATAGATAGATAGATAGATAGATAGATAGATAGATAGATAGATAGATAGATAGATGATGGATGGATGATACGTAGTAGGCAGGTAGGTAGGTAGGTTTCAATTTCGCTTTAGTTAAATCTATTGGATTATGCAACAGCTGAGATCCTGGAATGTGGACGGTGGAGAGAAGTCTGACCCTGATGTAAGTGCAACAGCAGGTTTTGCAAAAAGAATTCAGAGCAATGAGGAAATATTAGATCTGACAGACAGATATACTCACTAACATTGTACAGCGATATGAATGCACATTTCACGTTAGCTGAAAAGTTGAGGGGGGTCAGTTAGGCCTCAGTCAGACAATGGCCTTTTTCATGCTTAAGCTTGGCTTGGCAAACAGTATTATCACCTGTTGGTGCTGTTGTGGATTGCCACAATGCTTATTTTATGTACATACGAGTTTTGTCTAGAAATGTCACATTTGCCTACATTTCACCCCTATTTCTGTCTATATGTCTTCCGAGTCCAGACTTCACGCCTCTAGTGGGCTGTAAGCCACGAAAGCGGAGGCCACATGAAATGGGTCTGTCTTGGAGGTGCCACGAAATCCCCTTTCCTTCCACTTCCCTCCAGGATTGCTTTTCCCCCTTCAGGCCTGTCAGCAAGCTGCCATTCTGTTTTCTGTGACCTCTGTGTACATATCCTTACCCTGTTGCACCCGGCTTGTTTCTACTATCCTGCTTCTGTGCTGGAATGCATAAGATAACTACTGGTGGATGTGTGGGGGAGAAGATGCTGTAATGCTTGCCTATTGCTATCTCATGAGAACTGCACCTGTGTTTTGTCTGATGTTCTGCCTGGTTCCCATGGACTGGGCGCGCAACCGTTTCATTAGCCCGCCAGCGGGAATATTATTCATTGGATATGTATCTGTTTGAATTTCCTTTATTATGCTCGCCCTAACTGTGTATCCCCAGTTCTAACAAAGAACGTGTTTGAGTATGTCTTCAACGCTTTGAAATAAATTTTGCTTTTCTTGAAAACGTGGATTTATTCTCGATGCTTGGGGATCCAACATATTGTTAGAACTCCCTTTCTCCTATCGTTCCGAATCTGGCAAGATCATGAGCGGAGCTGAGGGAGACCTACCGAAAACGGAGGGGGATTCAGGATCGGTCCCACACACCTCCGCTCCTTTGGTGACGGCAGCCTCGCTGGAGGGTGCCGTGGGGGGAACGATTCCCCGCCGGCCTGCACATCTGTCTTGGCCGCCTCCGACCCCTTCGCACTGGGGTCCGCGGAAGACTCAACGGCAGGATGATTGGACTATGTACAACACTCAAGGCGCTCGTGAGGTGTACTCCCGTCGAGGGAGCGGATTACGTGAAAGTTTGTTTGACAAGGGATTGTTCCCAGAGCCGGGGGCTACCTCGGAGAAGGGGTGTTCTGAGCAAGACCTCGAAGAGTGGATGTTCGAGCCATCGGGGCCCCGAGGCCACGTAGAGGATTCGGAGGGAGCCGGGGGCTTCCAAACGGAAGGAGACTATGACCCACCCCCGGACTCCCACCCTCGAGATCCGATCCCTGAGGAAACCACCGGGGAACGACTGGAGGAACTGGAATACTCGGTGAGGGACCTGTTGAGGGCATTCCAGGATGTAATGGAAGCTCTGCCGGGGATGATGGACATTAGAATGGCTAATTTTCTTGATGCACACGCCGCGCAGCAGCAAGTTGCCCCAGCACCGGGAGTTCCCGCGCCGCAGGTGCCTGCCCAGCCACCGGCCGGACCTCCGCAGCAAGTAGGACCTGCGCAACAGCCGATGCCGGGTCTGCCGCCGGGTCTGCCGCCACCGATGAGGCCAGTGCCAGCGGGACCACCGGTTGCTCCGGGTCTTCCTCTCGGGGGAGTTCCGGGGCAGCTGGGACCGTTGGGAAGGACTCCACGGCTTAGACCCAAGGATTTACTGGAGGCTACCTTTGACGGCAACCCAGAGGAACTCGCCTTCTTCACGGTGAGGGTGCACAAATTCGTAGAAGAGAGCCGACACCTCTTCCGAAATGAAGCTGCTCTCATTGATGTCATCTCGGCGAGACTGAAAGGAGACGCCGCCACATGGTATGTGGGACTGCACAATGACCGCGGTCCGGAACTTTTGAATTTGCGAGCATTCATGTGGGCGCTGCGGGCTCGGTTTGAAGATGTCAACGCGAGCCAAAGGGCCAAAGCATTTCTCCGCACCTATCGTCAGAATAAGAAGTCGGTCCGTGAATACACGCTGGAATTCCACAAGCAGGCAGCAAAGCTCCGAGACTACCCTGATCATATTTTGGCTGAGATGTATCGATTGGGACTCAACGCGGACATCCGAGAAACGGTTTTGAAGACTGTTAATCCTATCTCCCTGATGGCTTGGACCCAGGAAGCTGAAAATGCAGAGGATCGGCTCAACACCATCAAACTCGACCTGGCTGCTACGACCAACAGACCCGCCACTGCCAGCGCCTCCAGACCCAAGACTCAACGCCTGTCGGAATCGGCACGAGACCTGCGCATGAAGATGGGGCTCTGTCTGAAGTGCGGGGAGAAGGGGCATTTCGCCGTGGATTGTGGCAGCCGTCAAGCTAAAGACAAGCCGCCTACTCCGAAGCCTAAGACGCCACTACCGGGGAAGAAGGGGATGGCCAAACCGCGATTCTCCAAAGCTCTGCAGGCGGCCCAAGGTCCGGAGGGAACCGAGCCGCCCACTGCCGGGTCAGAAGAGGAGGTAGAGGTTGAACCGGCGGAAAACGACAACGGCCTGTTGTGAGAGGCGCAAAACGACACGGCCATTCCAGCACTGCGCCCAAGGTGGTGAGAGAAACCCCTTCCCTGTTTTTCGTGACTGTTTCTTTAATGAATCCGCTCCTGGGTACCCACGTCAGGGTGAGAGCGTTGATTGATTCTGGGTGTGGGAGGGATCTCATCAGCCCTAGAGTGTTATTGACACTGGAAGCGGGGATAACCCCCTTGAAATCTCCCATCATTTTTACCCAAATGGATGGGGCGCCCATGGAACCTTGTACGCATGAGACTATGGCTTTGCGGTTGGGGGCTGGCGATCATTGGGAATCCAGGACCTTCATTGTTACCCCTAAGTCGCAGTTTGATTTGGTACTGGGGAGTCCCTGGCTTTTTACCCATGACCCTTACATCTTGTGGGAAGAAGGGGTTGTCAAATTCGTGTCGCCAAAATGTGTAGATCACTGCTGGTTGGATTCGTGGGGGGACCGGCCTGCCGCGCAGTTCCCCTGCGGCACTTTGAAGCCGGAAGAGTTAGCGTCTTTGCCTCGAGAGTATAGAGACTTGGCGAAAGTTTTTGGCGAAGAAGAAGCTAACGAACTGCCCCCCCATCGCTCTACTGACTGTGCTATTGAACTCTTGCCTGATTGTAAATTGCCTAAAGGTAAAATCTATGCGATGGGGCCGGCTGAGAAAGTTGAACTGCGGAATTTTATTGATAAAAACTTGGCCCGCGGTTTCATTCGCCCGGCTTCC